TACCCAGGTGAGGTGGTGTATACCTATAATCCCAGCTACTTGGGAGGTTGAGGTAGGAGGATCACTTGATCCCAAGAGTTGGAGGATGCAGTGAGCTATGACAACCCCCTAGAACTGTAGCTGGGTGACAGACTGAGACTCTGTCTAAATTAATTAATTAATTAGTAAGACAATAATGTGGAGTACTATTTAGCCATTAAAATCATAATTTGGGGGCAGTGCCTGTGGCTCAGTGGGTAGGGCGCCAGCCCCATATACCAAGAGTGGCAGGTTCAAAAAAATTTAAAACTTAGTGGGGCATGGTGACACCCACCTGTAGTCCCAGCTACTTAGGAGGCTGACACAGAAAGATCCCTTGAGTCCAGGAGTTTGAGCCTTCAATGAACTGTGATGGCATAATTGCTCTCTAGTCTGTGTGACAGAACAAGACCCTGTCTCTAAAAGTAAATAGATAAATAATATTTTTCCAAATTTTCTTCAACACAGAATTTTTTAAAAACTAAACAAATAAAAAACAAGCTGCTAAAAGGCTGGTGAACCTCAAAGCCCAAGAGAATGAAATCAAAGTAATTTCGTGCAGTTCTCCAATCAGAAGTTAAAGGCTGCTGTGTGCAGTTCTGCAAGGGACAGGAAGGGTATTGGTTTGGTTTGGTTTGAGTATTGTAACACCAATATAGAGAAAAGAAGTTAAAAAAGGCCTAATTAGAAACCAGCATAGCTTGGGAGGTTGAGGCAAGAGGATCTTTTGAGCCCAAGAATTTGAGGTTGCTGTGAGATAGGACACCGAGGGCAACAGTGAGGTTCTGTCTCAAAAATGAAAAGAAACCAACACAGCAAACTATTATTAATATATGCTGGTGGGACTACAAACTAATACAACCTTTTTGGAAGGAAGTATGGAGAATCCTCAAAGAACTCAAATTAGATCTCCCATTTGATCCTGCAATCCCATTCCTAGGCATCTACCCAAAAGAAAAAAAATCATTTAGTAATAAGGACATTTGCACTAGGCTGTTTATCAATTTACAATCTCCAAAATGTGGAAACAACCTGAATGGCCGCCAACCCAGGAATAGATTAGTAAGCTGTGGTGTATGTATTATCATGAAATACTATTCAGCCATTAAAAAAGATGGAGACTCAGGCCAGGTGAGGTGGCTCACATCTTTAATCCCAGCACTTGGGAGGTTCAGGTGGTGGACTGCCTGAGCTCATAGGTTCAAGACCAGCCCGAGCAAGAATGAGAACCCCCCCCCCTAAAAATAGCCAGGCATTGTGTTGAGCACCTGTAGTCCCAGCTCTTTAGGAGGCTGAGGCAAGAAAATCACTTGAACCCAAGAGTTTGTAGTTACTGTGAGCTGCAACGCCACAGCACTCTAACAAGGATGACAAAATAAGACTGTGCCAAAAAAAAAAAAAAATGGAGACTTTACATCTTTTGCATTAACCTAGATTGAGTTGAAATAAATTCTTCTTCGTAAAGCATCACAAGAATGGAGAGGCAAGAATCCAATGTACTCAATTCTAATATGAAGGCAGTAGATGAGCTAATACAAGGTGGGGGGCAGGGGAATGAGGGAACAGGGGGAGGGGAGGAGAAAGGGTATGGGGGGTCAGGATGTATGGCACACCTTTTGGAGGTGGGTCACAATTACAAGAGGGACTACCTAACAAATACTATCAGTGTAACCTAATTCTTTGTACCCTCAATGAATCCCAAATAATAATATATATATAATTAAATTGGCAAAAACATTTAAAATTTTAACAGCCAAAACTCAAAGGATGTGGCAAAATATTATATATATTCTTACATATATACATATGTTCTCATTCATATTTCTATTCCTGGTGGTGATGCATTTTAGCACAACCCTTTTTGAAAGCAATTTAGGAATATGAATAAGGAACCATAAAACGTGCATGTTCAAAATGGTATAGTCACTGTGGAAAACAATTGGACAGTTGCTTATAAAACTAAGATACAACTACCATAAGACCCAAAGATTATACACGTGGGCCATTATCCCAAAGAAATAGAAATGTATGTTTACACAAACATTGGTACATGTATTTTCATAGCAGTTTTATTGTTAATAAACCCAAAGAGGAAAGCACCCAGATGTCCTTCAACCAGCAAATGGTTAAACAAGCCAAGCAATAAAAAGAAACGAACTATCGATATATCCAACAACTTGAATAATCTCCAGGGAGTTATGCTGAGTGAAAAAAGCAAGCTCAAGAAGTCGCATACTGTATGATTCCATTTATATAACACTTTCGAAATAACAAAATTATAGAACTGGAGAACAGATTAGTGGTGGGAGGAGGTGGGCAGAGGGAGGTGTGGATATAAAAGGGATCCTTGTGGTGATGGAAATGTCTTTTATCTTGACTGTACCAATGTCAATATTCTGGTTGGGATACTGTAGTACAGTTTTGCACAATGTTATTGGGAGAAACTGAGTAAACAGTACTCAGAATCTCTCTGCATTTTTTTTCTGATAATAGCATATGGTCTCGAAATCAAAAGTTTACTTAAAAAAGTTGAACATCTTCTTTTGGCCAATTATCCAGGGTCTGGAAATCTGTCCTAGGGTTATAATCCAAAAGAGAAAAAAGTGGTGAATACACTAGATGTTCGCTACAGATTATTTACAACAGGGAGAAGAAACAATCTAAGCGTCCAAATATCATCAGTCACCAGAGAATTATGCAGTCATTGATGAAGCAAGAAAAAAATGTTATTTGAGGCCCGTTGAGGTAGCTCACACCTGTAGTCTCAAGCTATTTCAGAGGCCAGGAGGAGTTTTGAGCCCCAGGAGTGCTAGAGGTAGCATGTGAGCTATGACGGCCCATTGCACTCTACTCTGGGCAAAGAGACAACTGGTCTCAAAAGAAAGAAAGGAGGGAGGGAGGAAGAAAGAACAAAAAGAAAGTTATATTAGCAGTGGCTCACACCTGTAATTCTAGCATTCTGGGAGACTGAAAGCATGTGGATTGCTTAAGCTTAGGAGTTGGAGACAAGCCTGAGCAAGAGGGAGACCCTGTGTCTAACACTTGGCCGGCGCCTGTGGCTCAGTGGATCGGGCGCTAGCCCCATATACCCAGGATGGCGGGTTCAAACTGCAACAAAAACATAGCTGGGGCTCGGCGCCTATGGCTCAACCGGCTAAGGCGCCAGCCACATACACCTGAGCTGGTGGGTTCAAATCCAGCCCGGACCCGCCAAACAACAATGACAGCTGCAACCAAATAGCTGGGCGTTGTGGCGGTGCCTGTGATCCCAGCTACTTGGGAGGTGGAGGCAGGAGAATCGCTTGAGCCTAGGAGTTGGAGGTTGCTGTGAGCTGTGATGCCACGGCTCTCTACCCAAGGTGACAGCTTGAGGCTCTGTCTCAAAACAAACAAACAAACAAACAAACAAAAAAACATAGCTGGGCATTGTGGCAGGCACCTGTAGTCCCAGCTACTTGGGAGGCTGAAGCAAGAGAATCGCCTAAGCCCAGGAGTTGGAGATTGCTGTGAGTTGTGATGCCACAGCACTCTACCTAGGGCGATAGAGTGAGATTGTCCCTACTAAATAAATACATACATACATACATAATAAAACCTAGCTGGGCGGTTATGTTGGGTGCCTGTAGTCCCAGCTACTCTGGAGGATGAGGCAAAAGGATTACTTAAGTCCAAGAGTTTGAGGTTGCTGTGAGCTATGACACCATAGCGCTCTACTCAGGGCAACAAAGGGAACAAAGTGAGACTTTGACTCAAAAACAAAACAAAAGTTATGTGTAAAGAGAGGATACAAAACTGTGGTACGATGCGACAGCTGTGTGGGAGGCACTGAATATATTTCAATTTTTTTTCTTTTTTGAGACAGTCTCAACTTTGTTGCCCTGGTGCCATGGCATCATAACTCACAGCAACCTCAAACTCTTGAGCTCAAGCAATCCTCTTGCTTCAGCCTCCCTAGTAGCTAAGATTACAAGCGCTGACCGCAACACCCGGCTAGTTTTCCTATTTTTAGTAGAGACGGGGTCTCACTCTTGCTCAGGCTGGCTTCCAACTCACTCGTTCAAGGGTTTCTATCCTCCTGCCTCTTCCTCACCTCCGCCTTCGGCCTCCCAGAGTGCCAAGATTACAGGCGTAAGGCACCACGCCCAGCCTATATTACAAAATTTTAATAGGGGTTCTCTACGTGGAATTCTAGCAGAAATGGTTTTCGTTCCTCAAACTCTCCATAATGTTAACATGATTTTAATATGGTTTTGGAGGGGATGTGTGGATAACATTAAAGACCTTTTATATTAAATTGCAAACGTCGGAGTCAATAAAAGTTATTTAAATCAGTTCCTTCAACAGCAGTAGAGCAAACTTTGTTTTCTTACTCCCTCCAGGTTTTGACCAAGAGTGCTCACAAGGGCCCGCATCGTCCTGAGCTCAAGGCGGGTGTGATGAGGCATCGGCTGGTCTGCGGCAGCTGTCTCGGGGCTGTCTCGCTGCTCCAACTCAAGACCCAGCCAGGAAAGAGTTCAGGGAAGGTGGCCCCGCGCCAGGGCGAAGCCGCTGCCCGGAGGTACAGTGACCACTCCAAGGTCACCATGGAGAGCCTGCGGCCAGGGTTCGGCCTAGCCCAAGCCCTCCTGGACTCTGAGTCCGGGTCTGGCTCTCTGCCCCTCTCCCCATCACAAGCCACGACCCCAGTGCTCCCAGGGGCTCCGCCACCGCGAATCCTCAAATTGCGGCGTGGCGGCCCCCCAAGCTTCTGACCCTGAGTTCAGTGTCCCCACCCCCCACCCAGGGCTAAGACCTTAAAGCGCCCCACCATAGCGTAACCCAGACCGCTCCCCTCATCCTTTTTCGCCCTCTCAACCCAGCTTTTCCCGACTCCGGGAAGAACCGGGAAGAGAAGGCGGAGGGGAGTGAGGCGCCGCCTAATAAATACTGTGGACCAGTCCCGCCTCCCGAACGTCACTTCCGTCCCGCGGCAAGATGGCGGTGCCCTGGTCCTGCCACGCAGACTTCCGCCCGGTGCGAAGACCGAGGGCTGGCAGCGAGTGGCGTTGGAGGTGAAGTCGTGACTCGCGGTGTGGAGCCGCAGCCTTGGTGCGTCCCTGCCGCGTGCCTGGCCTCAGTGCTTGGCGAGAGCGCAGCCCGTCAGCCAAAGACTCCAGCCGAGGTGGCCCGGACGGTCTCGCCACGTGGGAGGGGGAGGAGCTGAGATGCCACCGGAGGGACGCCCTGACGCGGGCGGGAGGCCAAGTGGGTGGGGTTCCGCCCAGGGTCCGCAGGTCGGTCCCCTCCAGTGGTTTCGTTGCACCTTGTTTCCTAGGCATCATGTCGGAAGGAAACGGAGCGGGCGAGCCCAGCGCTCCAGGAGGATCCCGGCCCCTCTTGTCTGGGGCGCGGGGGCTTATTGGGCGGCGACCGGCGCTGCCCCTTACCCCTGGCCGCCTGCCCTCCATCCGATCCAGGGACCTCACCCTCGGAGGAGTCAAGAAGGTACCCAAGGACTCATTTCTAAAGAAACCCAACCACCTTTAATTCTAGGCCCCTGGGATTCAACTAATATTCGTTTTGGGCCCGATGTGTGCCACGCGTGATAGTGGGCGTCGTGAATTTTGTCCCCAAACTAATGCCTACCTATCTTCAAGTTCTGGGGAGCCTGGCCTACCTTCTTTCAGTCTAAGTATTGGGTACGAGATGTTGAGATGATTCTCAGAGGTGATTGAAGGACAAAGAATACTAATTGGTTCAGTATATTTAAAAACAACTCAAACGGTATTTATTTACTTTTATCGAGCGCTTTAGAACACCTTTAAGAAACCCATGAAAGCCAGGCAAGCATAAGCTTTGCTTATAGTTTTGAAGGGTTCAGAATTCTCTACCATCCCAGTGTGCATACTTATCATTTAGAATGTAGTGAATTTTAGGCATGGCCTAAGAGCCTGTAAGGTCTCTCCCATTATGTATATGATTGTAGATTTCAAGAGCAGCCCTGAATGGGAGGGTGGGATGGGGTGGGGCGGAGAACAGGTTGACAAAAGCATAAAGCAGCCAGTTTTTAAAGACTTAACTTTGCCTTGGAAAATTCTGGTGCAATCTAATATATTATATAATTATGGGTGCAAATCTCCTGTCTTCCCTACTTAAGCCTTGGTGTGAGAGCTGTTCCCCTGTGATACTGACTGGTCTCTGTAATAGTTTGAAGACTAGAAGTGAGATTAGATAAATTCCTTCGTTTTTAGAATTCCCAGAGGCTCTCCTTTCAGAGGGCAGAAACTGAGGCTGTTAGTTAAAATGAGTTTTGGTGCCCCTGTCCTCTATGTGAAACTCCACTGCCACCACGGCCCTGAAGTTCCTCCTTTTCAGGCACATGTCTCTCCCTGTTAAACTCTGATAGCAGTGTGAAGTGTGCAGAAGAGAGCCATGGTAGTCTTGGTCCATAGAAGATGGCCTTTGGGAGTTTTAATTTTTCTTTGTACTTTGAGATCAGAATTTAACAAATCAGTGACTCTTGTATTTTACTTTCAGAAAACTTTCACCCCAAATATCATCAGTCGGAAGATCAAGGAAGAGTAAGTAGCTAGGCCTTCTCAATATTTGCCTTGAATTTGGGGCTTTGGGGAAGTAACTAGGTGGATAGCTCAGAAATTTAAATTTGTATCTTTAGTTCTTTTCATTAATGATTTTCTTTTTTTTTTAATTATTTTTTATTAAATTATAACTTTGTACATTGATGCATTGATGGGGTTCAGGGTACTGCTTCGATATACAATGTGAAATGCTTGCATTGAACTAAGTATAATTGTGATGGAGGTTACTTAGTTCACTAATGATTTTCAACCCTGGCTCCCAAGTGATTCTAATGTGCATATGTATAAAAAAAAAAAAATACTGGCTCTGCACCCGTAGCTCAAGTGGCTAGGGCACCAGCCACATACATCAGAACTGGTGGGTTTGAATCCAGCCCAGGCCCGCCAAACAACAATGACAACTACAACCAAAAAAAAGATAGCCAGGTATTGTGGTCAGCGCCTGCAGTCCCAGCTACTTGGGAAGCTGAGGCAAGAGAATAGCTTAAGCCCAAAGAGTTGGAGGTTGTTGTGAGCTGTGATGCTACAGCACTCTACCCAGGGCAACAGCTTGATACTCTGTCTAAAAAAAAAAAAAAATACTGATCCCTGGGGTTCCAGCTCTAGAAATTGTGATTTAACTTGTTGTTGTTGGTTTTTTTTTTTTATTGAATGGTAACTATGTACATTAATGCACTTCTGGGGTACAGTGTAGGGTTTTCACATGCAATCTGAAATACTTCCATCAAACTGCTCAACACAGCCTTCATGTCGTTTTCTCAGTTATTGCTTTAAAACGTTCACATTCTACTCTTAGAAAGATTCACCTGTACCCCTATAAGATAAACCTCAGAAGTGATCCCTCCAAACCCCTTCCCTCCACCCATTCCCTCCTCCCTTCTCCCTCCCCCCCCCATATTCTTAGGCTATTTGGTTATAGCTTTCATATAAAAGGTATAAATTAGTTTCATAATAGGGGTGTGTACATTGGATACTTTTTCCTCCATTCTTGTGATACTTTGCTCAGAAGAACATTCTCCAGCTGATCTAACTTGTTTATAGTAGATTGGGGTGACTCTTTCATAGCCAGAGTTGAGAACCAGTAGTTTAAGCAAAGATGTATCATGCTTTTCCTTAAGTTCCTTTGCATTACAGCCTTCCTGTTTTGGGTCAGTGCAAAAACAAACAAAAAACTACATTTTTGGATAAGAAGGTAAAGTAAAGCAAACTCAGAGGACCCTGCCTCATCAAGGAAGTGAGGAAAGTGCAAGACTTAGAATTGGGTTCTGCTTCTAGTGGCGTAGTTATTGGCTCACAAATTCTCCATTCACTTGGTATGAAGTGGTATGGGAGAGTAAACCCAGTTTTCTGAGTGACGGGAGGTAAGTGGTTTCCCTTAATCCATTTTTTCCAGGCCCAAGGAAGAAGTAATTGTCAAGAAGGAGAAGCGTGAAAGGGACAGAGACCGACAGCGAGAGGGCCATGGGCGGGGCCGGGGGCGCCCAGAAGTGATCCAGTCCCACTCCATCTTTGAGCAGGGCCCAGCTGAAATGATGAAGAAAAAAGGTACAAAGAAGGAATCAGGAGTGGGTTTCAGTTCAAACTGCCGGAGAGAAGGGCAAGAGCAGTGGAATCTCTCTGCTCCTGGTTTCGTTGCCCTCGCTGTGCCTCTTCCTTGTTTATCCCTAGTGACCTGACTGATTTCCCATAGGGAACTGGGATAAGACAGTGGATATGTCAGACATGGGACCCTCTCATATCATCAACATCAAAAAAGAGAAGAGGGAGACAGATGAAGAAACAAAGCAGATCCTGCGAATGCTGGAGAAGGATGATGTGGGTACCTGGATGCTGGGGGAAAGGGGCTTCCACGAAGCCAGGTCAGGGGCAGAATCACTCCCTAGTGGTGTCCTGGGATCCCGATGAGCAGTAGGAATCTTTGGTTAGAAGCAGAACTAAGTTGGGGTGCAATTCAGGTACATGTGCTGGCCGTGTGTCACCCCACGTACACATACTTTGGTTTTGGCAGTTCATTGATGACCCTGGTCTGAAGAATGACACTCGAAACATGCCTGTGCCATTGCCACTGGCTCACTCAGGGTGGCTTTTTAAGGAAGAGAGTGAAGAACCAGATAAACCTTGGCTGGCTGGCCCCAAGGAAGAAGACATGGAGGTGGACAGACCTGTTGTGAAAGGTACCAGTGTCCGTTAACTTCTTTTTTTTTTGAGACAGAGTCTCACTTTGTCACCCATGGTAGAGTACTATGACATCACAGCTCACAGCAACTTCAAACTCTTGGGCTTAAGCGATTCTCTTCCCTCAGCCTCCCAAGTAGCTGGGACTAGAGGTGCCCGTCACAATGCCTGGCTATTGTTTAGAGACAAGGTCTCACTTTGGCTCAGGCTGATCTTGAACCTTAGGCAATCTACTCACCTCAGCCTCCCAAGTGCTGGGATTACAGGCATGAGCTACCTCAGCTGGCCTCATTAACTTATCTTCGTTTTCACGGCCGCCTCCCAGAATCCCTTACATGAGCCTCTGAGATTGCTGCTCCTGGGCAGATCCTTTCTTATTTCAGCTGTAAAGCACATGAGCTGAACAAAAACACTAAATTCTCCCTCTCAGAGGGATTCACAGCCAGAGTTGAATGGGACAGCCCCAGATGTCCCTTTTTAGATAAGTCACACAGCTCTTGCTTGCACCTTTCCTTGTCCTTCTCCATAACCAGAGTCTCCCTCCAATTCCCAGCTGAGAGACAGGAGCAGATGGGTAAAGGTCTGGGAATAGTGAGGGCGGGCATGAGATAGCCCTTTCGTTGTGTTACCCGAGCAGTGAAAGAGGAGCCACAAGATGAGGAGGAGGAGGCCAAGATGAAGGCTCCTCCTAGAGCAGCCAAGAAGACCCCAGGGCTGCCGAAAGAGGTGTCTGTGGCAGAGCTGCTCAGGGAGCTGAGCCTCACTAAGGAGGAAGAGCTGCTGTTCCTCCAGCTACCAGACACCCTCCCTGGCCAGCCACCCACCCAGGATATAAAGCCTGTCAAGACGGAAGTACAGGGCGAGGATGGGCAGATGATGGTCATCAAGCAGGAGAAAGACCGGGTATGCTCAGCGGCGAGTCCTATGAGGGTGCCAGGGTGGAGAAAGGGTGACCTGTATAGTGAAAGTGTGTCACTCAGCCGGGACAGGAAGGTGTGCCACTCAGGACTTTTGTTCTTAGTACCAGCAAAGGTTATGTGGCTTTGTGCTTCTGACCCCAGTTATGTGTGTGTTTATGTTTCCTTTGCATCATGAAAAATTTCAACCATGTACAATTCAGAGAACATAAACTCCCAGGTACCATCACTCAGCTTCAGCAGTTGTTGATATTTTGTCCATTTGTTTGCTATGGGTTTTTGTTTTCGGCCAATGGCAAAGAGCCCCGAGAAAAAGCCCTTTGTAAGGAGCTTTTTCTGACCTTTGCTGCCAATGGCTCTCTCTGGGAGGTGGGATGTGGTTCGTTCATGAAAGATGGAGGGAAGAGCTGCCTGCCCAGCTTCTATCCCCTGAATTTCTCCACAGGAAGCAAGGCTGGCAGAGAGCACTTGTTCCCTGGCTGACCTGACCGAAGGTCAGGTGGGCAAGCTGCTCATCCGCAAGTCAGGAAAGGTGCAGCTCCTCCTGGGCAAGGTGACTTTGGACGTGACCATGGGAACCACCTGCTCTTTCCTGCAGGTGAGCACCACTGTAGGGTCAGCTGTTGAAGGGGTTGAGAAGTTGAGCCAGTTCTAAGTAGGGAGGTAGGGTTCTTAGGAGTGTCCTGTTCAGATTCACAGGACTAAGCTGTGGGACTAGGGAGTGTGGTTTTGACTCTCATTGCTGTCTCTCTCGATTGCCAGGAGCTGGTGTCTGTGGGCCTTGGAGACAGTAGGACAGGGGATATGACAGTCCTGGGACATGTGAAGCACAAACTTGTATGTTCTCCCGATTTTGAATCCCTCTTGGATCACAAACACCGGTAAAATGAGCAGATGGAGGAGGATGGCGATGGTGCCCACGGCTGCTGCCTGCTGCAGACGTTTTGTTCTCTAATCTGAGCGACCCAGAGGGGGCTGTTGAGCCCACCCACTCCAGCCTTTGTCAGCCGTTGTCCTAATTTCACCCAGGGCCCACAAGACTTTTTCCCACAGAAGCTGTGAATGGCACAATGCCCTTCACACAGCGTGGACACTGCACATCCTGGCTGCTAGGGACTTGTCTCTGCTATTTATTTTTATATTTATGTCTTAATATCTTACGCTGACTGCATCCTCCTGAGGGGTGCGGGAAGAGGGTCTATGGAAAAGTGCAGGCTCCTTCTCTTAGAGACAGTTGGGCCATGGGGCAGGAAGTGAGGGTTGCAGCTTTGGCTCGGGTGCCCTTCTTGGGAGGCAGCTGATAGGAGAGAGCTGGGATGGAGGCTCAGATGTACAAGCCCAGGCCCAGCTCAGCAGTTCGTAGACCCTGGACAAACTACCTAACCTGTCTGAGCCTCATATTCCTCAGCTGACAAAAATGGAGATAATAACCTACCTCATGGGGTTGGCACGAGGATTAATAGGATGTCATTGATGAAAACTCCTTGCACAAGGCCAAACCCAGTAGGGGCTCAATAAATGTTTCCCTCTCCTTTTCCTGAGTCTGTTTTCATGTGAAATGAAAGTGACTGGACTTACTCATTTCCCTACTTCTGCCCCTCTGTGCTTGCCCCGTGTCCCATCCCCATCTGGTCTTGGTGCTCCTAGTGTTCAAGTTCAAGCTGTTCTATGCCCTTTTCTCCTTGTTACTCTTATTTTGCTTTGTTTAGTGAGGACCAGTAGGCAGATCTCCTGCTTACTCTTAGCTAAGCAGTGGTTGTGTGAGTTAGTAGCTGTAGACTGATTAGAGACTCTAATAGCTGTACAGACTATTAGAGACTCTTCCCAGCACCCTCCTACAAATGCCTTTGCATGATACGGTGGGCTCAGGACTCATTCCCCACACCCCATCCCTGCTAGTCTTCGTCTAGCTTTCACTTATGATAAATATTTCTTCTGAGAAACTTACAAGTGTTCAACAGTGAATTATCACCACAGGAAGTCAAATATTGCCCATATATATATATATTTTGAGATAAGCTCTTGGTAAGAGAAGTAGGGACTTTAGAATAATACTTGGCAGATGACCTCCCACTTCAAAAGGTTTGCGTTTGAGAAGTCTTCTGTCCCTGGAAGAACAGCTTCTCTTCCTCTTCCCTTGACAATAGAGATGGAGAGATATTTGCAGGGTAGAGAAGCCTCAGACAGCAGCAGTCTGTAGCTATTAGACACTGTGGCACAGCTGCTCATTGCACATTGCCTCTGGAACAGGGATAAACCACAGCAGTTCAGTGAGAACTGCCCTTTCTTGGCCCCAAGGGTTTTGGATACATCTTCAGTCTTACCTTTCAGTTATTCATTCATCACAACTGGGGCTTTAACTATAGAGACCCTCAGGCTGCCCAGCCAGCAGCTCTGAGGGGCAATTGGGTATTTGGTGACCACACTGTCCCTTCTAAAGCTGAACGCTCAGGTTGGCTCTGTTGGATAATGTTCTGGTCTCTGCATGTTGTAGGGGACTGGAGCAGAAAGGGTCCCTCGGAAACACGTGCTGTGGAAGTTCTCTTTGCTCTGAGACTGTGCTGTGTGTGATTAGCTCTGGCTTCAGTACTTTTTCCCCTTAAATAGCTGATGCACTGCCAGTGGGTCTTCATTGTGATCCTCTCCTTTCTGTTCTGTTTCTTTGGTTCAGAAATAATCTGCTTTTTTTAGATGAGCTCAGTGGCCTGGTGTTGTTAGATGTTGGGTGTTTTGCAGTCTTTAGTTCTTTGACTCTTCCAAGAAGGTTTGGGAAAGAGCATGTACTGCTTTCATGTTCATTTCACCTGTTCAGATATCTTAGGCCTTGAACCTTATGACTACATGAAAGTCCTCATGGCCTATCTCTAGATCCCCTATGTGCAAATTAGATCTTAACCAATAAAAGTGTGGGAAAGGATAAGACCTGTCTGCTTTCTTGACTAAGCTGCGGAAGCATACATTTCTACCAACAAATACGTACAAATAACAGGAGGGAAAAACCCAAAGCCAAATTCATATGTTGGAGCAAATGGATGCGAATTTATTACTACCTGCATCTGTGTGTGTGTACATTTTGTTAACTACAGAAGGAACTATATATAGTCTTGTTCATTTTATTAACTACTTGATAAAATGACAGTGTGGGCTTTAATGTCAGGGTTGGGTTGGTATCCAACTCCACCCGTAACTCACCCTTCCTAAGCTCAGTTTTATTTAGTTTTCTGTAAGAATGGTTAATGGGTACAAAAATACAGTTTGACAGAATGAGCAAGATCTAATATTTGATGGCGCAACAGGATGACTATCATCAATAACCTACTGTATATTTTAAAATAACTAAAAGTAGAATTGGAATATTCGTAAGACAAAGAAGTGATAAATGTTTGAGGTGATGGATACCCCAGTGACCCTGTTTCATTTATTACACATTATATGTCTGCATCAATATATCACACATACCCTGTAAGTATACACAATTATTATGGACTCGTAGAAATAAATTTTTTTTAAAAAAAGAACAAGATGGGGAAGCGCCTGTAGCTCAGTGGGTAGGGCGCCAGCCCCATATACTGAGGGTGGCAGGTTCAAACCCAGCCCTGGCCAAACTGCAACAAAAAAATAACTGGGCCTTATGGTGGGCGCCTGTAGTCCCAACTACTTGGGAGGCTGAGGCAAGAGAATCACCTAAGCCCAAGAGCTGGAGGTTGCTGTGAGCTGTGATGCCACAGCACTCTACTGAGGGCGATAAA